TAGTAAAGCATTAAGGGAGAGGAGGGGACACTCGTGTAAAAATCAAGCAGCAGTAAATTTCTAGAACAATGTTGAAAATACATATTCTTATATAATTTTCGACGGTGAATTAAATGGTGTAAAATTGAATTTAAAAAAAAATGTCACATTAATTTGAAACGAATTTTGAAAAGAAAGTAATTGTACAACAAAATCTATAGCGGTATTTGTTCGATTCCTTTCAAAGAGTATGTGAAAAAATCTGCTACAGATTTCAGTCATGAATAGTTACATTACGAAATTTAGAAACGATGCGAATAAAGCGTTCCTTAGATCTTTTGTCAACCTTCCTGATACCGTGGATAGGGATCACTGCAGTGCGAACATCTTGCTCTTCTTCGAGTGAATATAAACAACATCGTTGGCGGAAAATTTTGCAAGGTTTAATGCGATCTGCAAGATGTAATTGCACTTTTTCCTTTTAATAACATTATGGATTATTTCTTATGTAAACTGAATCCTCCAGTCATTCTGCGTTAATACTATTAACGTACGGATACACAAAGTAATTACTTCGTAAGATATTATTCTTCGAAATAAATATGTTTAATGTTAAACAGTTTTTTCGGCATTGCGACATTAAGTAGGTCGTCTGCAAGTTCCAACCACTGCTCCGGCATTAAAATTTAAGCGAGTATTATTTTCAAATATCTCGCGAATTATTCATCTTTCGCTATATATGAATATTCGGTAATTTTTTCTATCAATTTCTGTTACATTCATTTAGAAAGTAAATATAGATTTGGTCAGCTTTCAGATTCATCTTGCACGAGTAAAGAAATGACATCCAAACAATACCTATCGCAGAGGATCGATCCTGTACATTTTGGATACAATATATAAAAGTACACTGGTTCGTCCATTTTTCTCGGCACTTTTTATACGCGGATTATATTTCACACGGTCAATAATAATTTGATATATGTGGACTTTTTATGCGCCATTTTACCGTTACGTGATATCAATTTACGTGGGAGAAACAAATGTTCTGTATTTTTCATGTATAAATAATTGCACCGCGGTAACAAAAATTTCTAATATTATTATAACATCGTATTTGTTGATTTTCGAAAAAGTAATCAAACGCTGCTATTATGTATATAATTCTTCTTAGGTGATTATACTTAACTTCTTGAGGGACGAATTTTAAATTTAAAATTTCTTACAACAATTTTTTTTATAGTTCGTTTCATTCAAAGTATACCAACAATATAGAAAAACAAGATGAGCCAAGTAAGTGTAATAAGTTATCAGTGCATTTAGAGAAAAATGTCAGAGAACAACGATGATTGGTTCAATACTAAATTTGTAGGCCTATGTTTTTTTTATAAGTGCAACGGTGCACGTGCAATCGATAGTTGTATTATTGTTTAGAAATGAAAATGCATAATTTCTTTTACGTAGGTTGAATCCTTTCGTCATTGTACACAAAAGAGTTTGCACCTTCGCCACGAAGAGTTTGAGCATCTTCTTCATTACAAACAATTGTTTAAAATATCTCGTGAACTATTGATTTTTTTACCACTTCATCCTAATATTAAAAAGGATTCAATATATAGACAAAAAAATATGCATTTCCATAAAAAAAAATAATACAACTATCAATTGCACATGCATCACTGCACTTATAAAAAAATCATGGTCCTACAAATATGCACTTTGAACCATTCATCTTTTTCCTTTGACATTTTTCTCGATATGTAATGCTAACAAACTTGGTCCATCCTGTATACTGATCCACTTTAATATTGTGTATTTTTTAATTCGAAAATGTGTTGTGATCGTAAATAACGATACTTTTGCTATAAAAGCAAACGTACACATATTCGTCAGTATATACCTCTCAAGAGGTTAATATTGATCAACGGTACTTAGTGCTGGGAAATGTGCTGGGAATATGTTTGTTACAAAATTGATCATGGCGTACCGGCATATCGACTTGTCGCGTAAACATCGTTTTTTCATCGATATAATCATGCCGCGAGACTGCTCCGAGAATGTACGATAGTTCACCGTAATAATATCATCGTTTGCAATTTTACCGAGCGCAACATGGCAAGCTTTAACGCGTTAGTATCAATCGATCGTGAAATCCTTTCGTATCGATTATCCGCGTTTACCGGCTGCCGCTGCTCCATTCTGTAGCTTTAATAATAGAAATTGATTTATAAAACGACGAAGCTTTCATTAAGCTTCAGCCGGGAGCATAAAGAGAATGAAGCAACGCTGATGTGAAATTCTTGCCACATCTTCGGAATGCATCAACGATGCTGCCCACGGGTATCCAGGAACACCTGTAACACGAGGTTGCCTGGTTGTAACGAAAGAATAACGTTGTCTCGCAACTTACTAGGATCGTCAGACGTAAGTCCTCGATATCGCAGAATTCCTGTTTACGACAGATTAGAAACTTTTTTATTTCTACCTCTTCTATTACAATTGGTCCAGCAGGAGTTCTAAATGATATTCCCAGGCGTACGTCCTGGATATCGTGTAATATAATTCTTTTTTTTTATACGTTTACTTAAAATCGCCTCAAGAACAGAGGTTATTAGCGACTGCTGTAATTTATAAATTACATGTTACAAACTTTGATTCAGTCATTATAGTATAGATCGTTGACTATGATAAATTTTTATCAAATAAGTTGATCTCCTTACGAAACTTGATAACTTTATTTCAGCTCGCTACTTTGTTTAAATTAGACTTAAAATTATCACTTAATACTTTCATATTGAAATATGTAACAGTCCATTAGAATGTGGTAAATAGACACCCTTTATGTGAAAGATACTTTTAGCGTTATGAAAATTTGTAATCGCCCTCTCTGTGCGATGTTCTTCCGCCTTCTTTGGAAAATCACCATACCGTTGCTATGAAATTTCTATAGTGTTTTATTAAATATAATCATAATCTGCGACACGAACTTATGGGATGACCTAACAATATTACTGGAGTTGGTGCCTCTACTCAAAAATATTTCCAAACGCAAAATTCGACGTAATTCTGACAGGGGCGAGTCTGGACTTTTCTTTGTATGTTTACAACATGTACACAAACATAACGTTAGGAAGTGTTCCAAAGCGAGAAAACCGAAACTTTGTATTTTCCACCGATGGCAGTAGCCTGCCGGAAATGTATAAATGTCAGGGTCTTATCAGGGATTAAACTCGGATCGGTATCGGAATAAACCATACGTTTACCTTAACCTTTTCACTGTTGAATCAGTCAATGGATTAGGAATCTTATTTTGTAATAATCATACTCAAAAATATTCGTTTGAAAAGCTGATAGCATTTTTTAATTGAAAGATAATTCTTATATATTCTCATTTATTGCTAGATTGTATCAACTACATACTGTAAGTCCCAAAAGAAATTTATTTGAATCAAGTGATAGCATGATGATTTTTTCATTCAATTGAATACACACAAACCAAAGCAACTTTTATTTGTAAGTCGATTTTAACATACAAATATGCTATCTCACTTTAATATGCCATATTTTTTTTTAATGAAAAGGTGGTCGTAAGTAATTGTAATTTTGATATAAAGATATATGTCAATTTTCCTCAAAAGGTTAAAGAAATTTGTCTAAATCAAATGATACTGATCAAATGATTTTTCATTTTAGATATATACATGTGTGAAGTTTATTCATGTACAAATTATAATTAAATAATAATTAAATAATAATTAATTTTATATTTAAAAATAATAATTAAATTTATTATTTTATTTACATGAAATTCTCCAATAAACATAGAGGGAACGAATATTTATGGAACTCATTGCATACGCTATTTTGTTGCACCACCCGTTCCCATTATTTAGACAATGGCATTGTTTCATTTACTCAGAATTGAGCTCGTTTGCATTCCAGTGAATTGAAGTTTTCCCCGTTAAGAGAATTTTGTAGTTATCGGACTAATTAAAAATCTGGTAATGAAAGGTCATCGTGGTCGTTAGTATAAAAAACAATTTTAACAATTTTCGCTGATAGAAATGCAATTGATTGGACTTTGTTTTCTGTCAAATTGTGAGCCACCCACGCATCGTAACGATTGACGTATCCGAGTCTTTCAAAATGCCTTCCAACGCTCACATGTGATATGTGGAGTATCCCTCCAATGTCTCGTGTCGTCTTATGTAGATTACTTTTAATCAACTACGATAGCATCATTGTCAATATCACGTATTTTTTTTTTGCTGTTTGAACAGCGTTATTTGCTTTCCAGAAATAAAACAGCATCGAATGGTGAAAATGCACCTTATTCGTTGCATAAATTTACAACCAAATCACAAAGAAAGTCGAGTTGCAACCATAGAGATATTACAGATAGAATAGGGGAACCAGACATCTGACTGTACTAGAGCTAAAAAGACGAGGAAACTCGCGGCAACCAATCCATCTCTGTCTACCAGTGCATTGCTATATGATTTTTATGGTAATGATAAATGGTTATTGTTTGTATTTTTAGTAATTACGTGTATATTTTACTTTCACATTAATAAAAGCACAGAGATACATAGAATATCGCTATTTTTTCTCTCTTTCTAACAGTGGTACATTTCCATTGATATCTTCTAATATCTCTATGATTGCAACGTCACCTCTCAGGTTATGTATATTGTAATCATTTCAATCGCAAATTGAAAAACACTACGAACTTTTATTCCCCAACCCAATACGTGCAAAACTCCAACAAATACGTGAAGGATCTCACAGAATAGTCCACAACAAAAATAAAGAAGTTTATATACGTGTTACTTTCTTGACCTCGAGCATCTAAAATAAATGTACCAGCGCCCAGCTGTTAAAAGGTTAAGTACTCCAACGACCAATTATAGCGTCCAATTTGTGTCGCGCGCGTAATCAATCGAACGTCACAGCAGGTTGGATCGAGGATCCTTGATAAGGATCGCGCATCAGTGATCGCGCGAGGGTGAACAAACGATGTCGTCGGGCCGGTATTTTGGTCCGTCGTCGCGCAGCACAATGTCCGCCGTGTCAGCTTCCATCGATCTTTTTTAATCGACGGGTTCATCGATAATTCAGAAGCGAGCGTCTCCGGTGGCAGCGCGTGGCGCACAGCCCAAGAACATTCCGAGCGCGAAGATCCTACGGAAGCGGGTCAAATCAAAAGCAAAAGCAAAAACGAGAAGCACGGGAATAGAGAAGGGAGAGGCAGAAGATGGAAATAAGTCGAAAGCGGAATGGTGATACCACGACGAAGCGGGGGGACAAGGAAGAAACGCGAGAATCGCGGAGGAGAAAAGACGGATAGGTGGTTCTCGCTTCCACGAAAGACGACAGAAAAAGGAAGAAGAGGCCGAGCAACGGTGGTCCGCGTGCCGCCGTTGGGTCGGGTCGGGTTAGATTGGGTTGGGTTGCGTGGGGTTGAGATAGCCGGGCGGTGGGAGGACGGGTGATCGGTAGGTGGCATGCTGACGTCATCGTAGCAGCATCATCAGCCGCGTGGGCCAATAGGGACGCTCACTCGAGCCAGGTCCATCGATCCGCCGGCTGCTGTCGTGTGTGCGTCCCGGGTTATGACGTCCGTGAGTGACGTCATCGTTAGCGCCGTTCGCCGTTCGCCGCCGTCGCTACACACGCTACGGTTTTAATATAGCGGAGGAACGCGCGCGATCCGGACTCAGTTACGCGGCGGCCGGCCACCCGTGCGAGAGCGTGTCGCTTTCTTGTTAAACACGTCCGGTGCTGTTTTCTTCTCTCTTCATCTATCGCTACTCTCTGTCCACTTTAACTATCTATCCTGTCGGGGTGTCCGTCAGTCTGGTGTTTCGCTACTTCCGCGTGCAGCGTAATCGGCCCGTGGAAACGCGCGTCCAGTGAGAAAACTTGGGATTACACGCGAGGAAGAAACCCGGTGGTGCAGCCAAGGACGTTTGTGTTTGAGTTTCGCGTGACCAGCGGCAGAGAGGGAGGGCTACCGCGTGGTTTCGCGTACGGGACTCCGTGCGTCTCGTACTACCTTCCCGATTGCATTCTGTTGCCCTTGATACTCCAAAGGGCCGGAGAGGAGGAGGAACTCCGGTACCTTCCGGAAACCTCGAAGTTTCGTGTTACGCTTTTCTGACTGTTTCACGAGAGTTCATATTTTTCACGAGAGAAAAGGAAAGGAAGATCGTCTGAAGACCTCGAATCTCGTGCTAAGTTTTCGACCGTTTCCTGTTGTCCTCGGTTCTCCAAAAGAAGAAGAGGACGAAACCGATACCAAACGCGTAGATCGAGTCGCAAGGTCAGCCGATCCGTACAGAAGTTCGACACCGTTCGATATAGGGAGACGTACACTCCGAAAACTGAAAGAATGATGTCGATAACGGAGGAACGATAAATTAGAAGTTGACGAGTTACTGATCAAGAGTCTGCATGCGAGTGCCCAAGGCAGAACTGTTCGGGCTCCTTGATGGAGCGCTGACCTCCGAAGACGTCAGGAAGGCCTCTTCTAGCCCTACGACGGCTCACACAGGTCGGTGATAACACGTGTGTCGTCGTCGCTTCTGTTTCTGTTTCCATGTGCTGTGGGTGAGTTGTGTGTGTGCCTTTCGGGGTGGATCGTAGAGCACGTACGTTTCTTCTCCCGCTTCGCAATCATTTCTGCTCCGCGTCGATAACGATACAGTCGAGGAATTCCACGTACCGCTGACTGGCGCAGCCGGTGTTTACGTAGCCGTGAGAATTATCGACTGGACGAGCTTTCGTCGACGCGGTTTCATCCCCTTTCACTTTCACTCGTCGTTCATCATCTCGTCCACCTTGTTCGCGGGCACGCATCGAATCTCCGTCACTGAAAGACTCCTTAGAAACTGTCGCTAGAACGAATAACCATCGTGGATCGTTCTCGACAACCAATTCTGATCACGGACTACCGACCGGCATCAGGAATCCTAACTATCGATTTCTGCGGTCCTGACGAGTCTCGCGCCAAATCGCGACACTTCAGATCCGCCACGTGTAAGTTTTTCTAATCGGTTCTCCGTCTAGGCGAGAAACTAGAGATGAGCGAAATTTTCATGTGAATAAAAAGTTCCCGGTAACGAAAGCCTTCGTGCTTGGTGAAAGATATACGGTCCGAGAACTTTAACGCGTTCACAGTCCATGGCCCGTATACGGGTCACAGCGCTATCGGGATTCGTCGCCGAGAAGCCGGTCGGTGAACGTCTTAAGTACGCGATTCTTGATGAAAGATCGATAACTTTTGAAACTCTTACTATGTTTCGCGTTAAGCGAATCGAGCTTATCCGATAGAACCGACGCGGTTTATCGTTGTAGTAAGATTCTTGCCATGTCTGCGTGAAAGGCGCACCAGGGCAGGAAGCGAAAGGGAAGGAAAGAGCGCTAGATCGTTCCGTGGGATGGTCGCGATCGCCGCGGCCATCGATCGTCCGCGATCGGACATTTGAAGAGACACGTCGGGATAGCCAGGGCACCGTGTGATCCGACTGGTTGGTGAATGAGACGAGCAAAAACGAGGCGCGAGTGTGCTGATCGTACGTGCGATGCGTACCGTCGAGGATACGGCCACGGAAGCAGCCGCTGCCGGCGCCGCGACCACCCACCAGCGTGCTACGACCGGCAGGCATCTACTCGTCGATCACAATCACGAACGCGATCACGATCAACGAGATCGATCGACGACGATCCATCTGCCGACTACACCGTACCACCAGGTCACCATCGCTGCGGACACCAACAACAACCATGACCATCATCGGAACCTCGAGCATCACGCGACTCAACGTCACGATCATTGGAACAAGTGTAAGTCAGTCATACGAAAAACAAAAACAAATTAAACAAAAAAAAAAAAAAAAAGCAAAGACCTTGGGACCGTCTCGCATATTTTGTCATCGTGTAAGGAAGGATTGCACACGGTCGTTTGATGGCTGTCAGGTTGTGGTTAAAGGTGGTGGTTGGTGGTGATGGTGGCGGTGACGGTCGGATCGTTGGCGATATAATGACGATGGAGATGGATCGAATTTTAATTTTGGTGGCTCGAACGATACGTTTCTCTATTTCGTCGGATGTGCGGTGGTATCGAGTAGACTCGCCGCGGTGCGAGTTTTTGATCGATCGAGTATCGTTGCTGCGACCGAAAGGCGCCGGAGGCGGAGATTTTGAGTGCAAAATGGCGGAGCATTTTAAAATAGCACGAAAACGAGCTGCTAGCCGAATAACGTTCCGAGTAATTATGACATTTAAATTATAATCAGCCATTTATTATTCGTGTACAACATTTACGATCAACCGCTCGTGGTTATCTTCGAAAGTATCGGTATAGCATAATTTACAAGAGTCAAATTTGTATATCACGCACCGAAGAACTACGGGAGAAAATAAATCCTTTACTTGGATAAATTGAAATATAAACTGATAGATATTTGCAAAGTGAAATAATGTGGTGATGCACTCTGATATTTTGCCATATCATTATACTTTCTAAGTAATTTTAATTCCATATTTTGACTTACCTGAATGCTGTTTCCATTAAATTGGTTCACTTGGTCTAAACTTCTTTCTTCCTATTTAACCTCAACGTTTACGTCATTGATTTTGACGCTCCTCGAAAGAATATTATTCCATCCATCTTAGAATATTCGTTTATTTCTGAGAATAACTTATTCCTAAAGGGAATCGTCACCAATGGTTAAAAAATAAAAAACGTTAAGGTTTAATATTAAGAAATTCAGTTCAATCCCAATATATGATATTACTTTGTATGTTACATTCCGCCACTCATGAAAATCAGATGTTCAAGAGAAGATTAACCCATATCTATAGTTACGGAGACAACTACAAGAGTTTGGTCGAAAACTTTAAATACGACTAACAAATGGCTCGTTACAATTACGTCTGATATCATGCAGTATCCAATTCAATCCAGCAATTTTCATTCTTCATTCGAATTATAATTTTCATTTCCTGACCAATTTTATTTTACGTTATTCTTGTAACTGTTGACTGCTGCTGCATTACTTTGTCTCGCGTCTTTGATCCCGCCGTAACTTGTCCGTCTTCGTTCTATCAACAATAATTACAGAGACCTTTAAACAGTTCTTCGAACGGGCAAAAGACTCAAAGACAATAGCGTGCGCGACTTCGTCGCGTGCGTTCTCGCTGGATAACGAAAAAGGTTAATGGGCATGGCATTAAAGCAGAAAGAGCGAGCAAAAAGCGAAGATGAGGTGCGAACGATAGAGCGAAGGGACGATTTCTCCCCGCTCGACGTTTCACCTTATCCAATCGATTTGAGCCGCGAAAAGGATCTAAAGGTTGTGGCTCTGCGATTGGCTACGAGCTAGCTTTGAACGCAACGATTTATATACGGTATAGCGGTTCTTACAAAAATTGCGATCGTAACCGACTCTTGTTTATCGCTATTCCTATCACTTTCGACGTTCTCCGTTCCATGGGCCGATTAAACACCATTCTCACTCATTCGATAACTATTCCATCGATCGCCACCATCATCGTTATCGTAACTATCGAACGTTTACATCTGACTCTTCTAAAGAGAAAGGTAATTCATTTTTTGGCGTATTTAATGCAAAAATTACGTATACATTTGTTCCATGAGGCATTTCATTATCGTTTGCTCTCATTCAATGACAATTCCATCGATCGCCACCATCATCGTTATCATACCCATCAAACGTTTGCGTCTGCTCTTCTAAAGAGACGTAGTTCACTTTTTCACAAATCAAACATGACGTAGTAGTTCGTAATTCACAAATCAAACATGCCTTATCCCAAGAAACAATTCGCAAGATCTTTCTCCTCCCAGAATGTTTCCGATTGATAAGACAAGTACACCTAACAAAATTCGTGAACTGATTTCTTAACGGTCTTGATTTTCAAAACAATTGTAAATTAACCGGGTACTAGTTTCCTTGGTAGCGACAACAGTTCATATAACTTCTATTCAAGGGAATAAGCACGGAATACAAGATGCGGAATCGTTGATGCGTCGGCGACGTTAACGCTAGCCCGAAAATAAAACGTCAAAATCGACGTGAAAATTAAAGTAGGCATTCTCAGTCGGATTCGCCACGGCCGTGGAGGCATTTTCAATTATTCATCCGCGCCAATTTCTTTGGACCCAGCGACAGATTCCATATTCGAGCACGGTAGCGCGGTTTCGATCGGGAATGGCCCGTCCCGATAGGACTCTTTACAGGTGTAATCGGCACGTTAAGGTAAATATAGTCTGGCAGTCGGCCGAGTGCAAGACAGGCGATTCTTTTCCGCGTGCATAGTTGGCCCGCACGAGACCTGCCCGCTCAGGAAAGAAGAGAGCACGAGAGAACGAACAAATATAACCGTGCTGTCGGAGAGCGAGGTGCAGGTGCGGTCACCGGTTCTGCAGCGTTGCGGCGGGGAAGCCTGCGCTCGAATTGCGAAAACCGATTGTCAGGTTCGCGAGAGTAACGGCCGTGACAATGGTAAATCAACGGGCTTATGACTTCCGCGCGTTAAACAGCCACGGGGTCCCCCCGGTCGTGTCGCGTCGGTGCCCCGTTAAGTCGCGGCGTTTTCGCTATCGATGGCCGATCGGCTGTCACTCTGACCGTTACGTGGGCACGTGATTGCGATATACGCCGGTTTCGGGCGCGGGGAGACAAACGAGAATATGCGTTCGACGACTGGACGGGAAGGAAAGGGGTAGGAGCCGATGCAAAGATATCGGGCGCGAGATCGGAACGGTTCCGTGCTGGCCACTCGATATGCGTCGCGGAGAGGGGACGTTTTCTTAAAAGTTAGTATTTCAAAAATAGGGGATAGTGGGATCAATTGAAACATGGGTTAATAGAAACAAGAAAAATTTCTTAAAAATGGTTAATGGGAGGGACAGAGTTTTGAGGAGAAAGGGGGCCAGTAGTCGTGTTTAAACCTGTCACTTTCTATATATCACTTATTTGTCTACTTGGAATGCTTTTATTCGAGCATATTACTTTTTTTAACGCGAAAAGTAAGTTTCCTAAATGTTTTTATTTTGTTTAATTCAAAACTGTTGTTCCATTTTCTATTTAATTCACCTTATTGTAACTATGAATATCCTAGTTGATTTTAGAATGTTAACTACCTACTTACAACATTTATTTTTTACCTATAAAATTAAACATTTTCAATAATGTGATTGGGTCAGTTGAGACAACTGTTCCGTAGTCGATTGAAATATTTTTCACTTGACCACTATAGATTTTTTCCAAGTAATTTGTCTAAATCTTGTTTCATTTTTAATGATCTTAGTGAAACTAATTTTGTTTAGTATATATTGTAATTGTTTATTAGCTCGATTATATTGTACAGTTGATTAATATCGATTAGATCTAAACAAATTCATTTAACCCATTCATATATGTATAAATATTGTCTTTCTGAAATTATTTGTCCAGTAGCACTGAATGTTCTCTCAGATTCAACAGATCCTGTCGGTATACAAAAATACTTGGAACACAATTCACAAATCGTAGGCAGTTCATCGTTGTCATTGGTCTAAAAAAATAAGCTTAAAGAATGAAATT